TAGAGTCCATCTACTGAGCCCCGCGCATCATAGCGCTGTCTCTGACCAGCTGGTTTTCATCTCCAAAGACATGTGCGAGAGCAAGCAGCCTTAAATTAAGGGCGGGAGAGTACAGCCTGATACAAAGGCATCGTAGGGGCAAGGACCACCTCTCAGTGAGACACGGCTCTGCACAGAAGAGAAAACCTGAAAGAAAGTCTCCTGTTAAGTGGGGAACTCTGAGCAAATCACTTCACTTCTCTGAGACCAAGCTGCTTCATCTTAAACTTAGATACAATAATGCCTGTCTCAACAGAATTGTTGCAAGGATTAGACAAAGTTTGTAAAAGCATGCAGTATGAAGGTGGTTGGCTGAATGTAGTTGAAGGTAAAACTATTGAATAATAAAAATTATGAGCATTGTTGGGCTACCATTTTATGATAGACCTGTGCCAAGCACTAGGAATATAAGGCTGTATAAGACATGGCCCCTGCCCTCAGGTAGTGCTCAATCCACTAGAGAGATGGCAATGGCAACAAATACTTTCATCAAAGAACTATAAGTACAGTATACCACGGGTGTACTGTAGTGGATAAATAAAGAAGCAAGCATCGCAGAGATAGGGGATTTTTAAAAAGCAAGAGAAATAGAGAAGTAGAAATGCTTAAATTGGCTCTAGAAGGAAGTTTCCAAACAGATGGATAGCTTATCCCGGGCCACAGAAAGCACAAAGACGTAGACAAACAGTAGGACAATTAATGGGGAGGAGAGAGCTCCCTAAGCAATGAATAAGCTCACATCATATTAAACATATTAAAATACAGCCACATCCCCCATTAAATATAATTGTTAGGTACAGAAGAATTAAGTTGCAGTTAATTTGTTAGAAAAAAATTTATGCTTTTTGTCATTGATTATATATTTATTAATTCATACTTGTACTTTTATTTTTGCATTTTGGAATCTGTACATTTTTTTTATTGTGAAATCTTTGTTGTACATTATTGTTTATCAGTCACCATATAAGTGCACCCCTCCACCCCTTATGCCCACCCCCCACCCCCCTAGTCCCTGGTAACCACCAAACAGTTCTATCTGTCTGTGTGTTGGTTCATCTTCCACATATAAGTGAAATCATGCACTGTTTGTCTCCCTCTTTCTGGCTTATTTCACTTAACATAATACCCTCCAGGTCCATCCATGTTGTTGCAAATGGGATGATTTTGTCTTTTTTTATGGCTGAGTAGTATTCCATGGTATATATATACCACAGCTTCTTTATCCAATCATCAGTCGAGGGACACTTAGGTTGCTTCCATGTCTTGGCTATAGTGAATAATGCTGCGATGAACATAGGGGTGCATAAGCCTCTTTGGATTGTTGATTTCAGGTTCATTGGGTAGATACCCAGTAGTGGGAAAGCTGGATCATAAGGTATTTCTATTTTTAATTTTTTGAGGACTCTCCATACCATTTTTCATAGAGGCTGCACCAGTTTGCATTCCCACCAGCAGTGGATTAGGGTTCCTGTTTCTCCACAGCCTCTCCAGCATTTGTTGCTTTTTGTCTTGGTGATTATAGCCAGTCTAACAAGTGTAAGATGATATCTTAGTGTGGTTTTGATTTGCTTTTCCCTGATGATTAGTGATGTTGAGCATCTTTTCATGTGCCTATTGGCCATCTGTACATTTTCTTTGGAGAAGTGTCTGTTCATTTCCTCTGCCCATTTTTTGATTGGGTTGTTTGTTTTTTTGTTATTCAGTTGTGTGAGTTCTGTATATATTATGGAGATTAATCCGTTGTCAGATATATGGTTTGCAAATATTTTTTCCCAGCTGGTGGGTTCCCTATTCATTTTGATCCTGGTTTCATTTGCCTTGTAGAAGCTCTTTAATCTGATAAAGTCCCACTTGTTTATTTTGGAATCTGTACATTTTATTTTCAGGTCTCAAACATTTTTTAGGTCCCTGAAAAGCTTATAGGCCCTAGATACTATACCTAATGTTGACAAAATGGTCCTCCTTATAAGCACACAGTGATGGTTAATTTTGTGTCAACTCGGTTAGGCTATGCTGCCCCATTGTTTTGTCAAATACCAGTCTAGATGTTGCTGTGAAGGTATTTTTTTTTAGATAAGATTAACATTTAAATCAGTAGACTTGAGTAAAACAGATTACCATACAAAATGTGGATGGGTCTCATCCAATCAGTTGAAGGCCTTAAGAGCAGAGACTGAGGTTTCTCAAGGAAGAAGCAATTCCACCTCAACATTGTAACACAGAAACCCTGGCTGAGTTTCCAGCCTGCAGATTTTGGACTTGAGACTGCAACACCAACACTTTCCTGAATTTCTAGGCTGTGGGTCTACTTCTACAAATTTCAGAATTGCCAGCCCCCATAATCACATGAGCCAATTCCTTAAAATAACTATGTGTACATGTACATGTATATATCTCCCATTGGTTCTGTTTCTCTGGAGAACCCTAACGCACACGCCGTGGAAGTCTTTCGAATTAATTTAGACAGACATTGCTTGAAAATGGATAGGTGTTTACGTGCTTGGGGACAACAGAATGTTCTAAATTCATCCACACATTGATTCAAAACTTCTTTTTGAGTATCAACTATGTGTCAGGAACTGGTGTCAGAGCTGAGTAAAGAGTAGGGACAAATTCATCTGGCCTTACTTTTATGGAGCTTAGTCTTTGGGGGAGACAGTGAAATAAATAAGCACAGCTGGTCATGGATGCCATCCTCACCCCATGAAGAACACCAACAGTACAGCAAGAGTGACCTGTTTCTGACTGGGTGGTCAGAGAGGGTTTCTCTGAGTGTGATGGTCAGTTTTTTGTATCAACTTACCTAGGCTACAGTTCCCAGTTATTCAGTCAAACGCCCATCTAGGTCATGTTGTGAAGGTATTTTATAGATGTGACTAAAGTCCATAACCAGTTGGTTTTAAGGAAGGGAGATTATCCCAGATAATCTGGGTGGACCTGATTCGATCAGTTAAAAGGTCTTAAGAGTAGAGCTGCAGCTTCCCCGAAGAAAAATTCGATAAAACAGCAGCTTCACTCCATGCATGCCAGATCCAGCCTGCCCTACAGACTTCTGACCTGCCTAGCCAGCCCCCACAATCATGTGAGCCAACTCTTTGCAATAAACCTCTTAATATCTATCTCCTAGTGGTTCTGTTTCTCAGGTTGAACCCTAACTGATACAGAGTATGTGACACCTGAGACTTTCACAGGTGGTGGGGGAGGCATGTGCGCAAGTGGAAGCGGTTTGGGGCTGAGAGTCAGCTTGGCTTCTCGGAGAATGCAAGGGTGATTGGAGCAAGAGGAAGACGAACATAAAATTAGAGAAAAGTAGGCAGGGGCTGGATCTAGCCCAGAGATAGGTTATGAAAAAGAGTTTGGATTTTAAAAGGAATGGGAGGGCCGGCCCTGTGGCTTAGCGGTTAAGTGCGCGCGCTCCGCTGCTGGCGGCCCGGGTTCGGATCCTGGGCGCACACCAACGCACAGCTTCTCTGGCCATGCTGAGGCTGCGTCCCACATGCAGCAACTAGAAGGATGTGCAACTATGACATACAACTATCTATTGGGGCTTTGAGGGGAAAAAATAAATAAATAAAATTATAAAAATAAATAAATAAATAAAAGGAATGGGAAGTAAAATAACTGGATTTGGTTTTTAAAGGATGATTTTGGCTACAGGAGAATGGCTTGGATGGGGGATGGGGGGTGGGGGGCGGGGATGGGGGCATGATTTTAGAGGCCAAGGGTGGAAGGAGCAGACAGCAGGGGAGGGACAGCAGCTGAGATGAGATTAGAGAGGTGGGAGAGCAAACGATGCAAAGTGGAAGAACGAGACTCCAGATGCAGCACCAGCAGAACTTGCCTGTGAACTATACACGGAGGTGAGGAGCGCCGAGGATGACTCTTGAGTTTCTGGCTTGAGCAGCTGGGTGAATGGTGGATTCCTTTACTGAGATGGAGAGAGGGCGGGAGCGTAAATCGGAAGCTCCGTTCTGGACGTTTTAGGTTTGATAAGACTTTGAGGCACCTGTCAGGGCAGGGGAAAATCCCCTTTCCTCCCCTCTTGTGTTCTTGTGGTTGGACTAACAGTAAAATTGACACAAGACCCGATTAACAGAAGAAAAACCCAGTTTAATACATACGTATTGGAGACCATAAAGAAACGATGCTCAGAGAGTGAACAAAACAGGCAGTATATATATCTTTTGCACAAAGAAACATAAATTTGTGAAAAAATTGACAGGATAAAGAAACTTAAGTTTGGGGTATGTAACTAGTGAGGAATTTAAGCAGAGTTTAGGCTTGAGGTAGTAAATTAGCACGGTTTGTTTATTCAGATTTCTCAGCCTTGAATCCCCTAGCTCTGGTGACAAGGATGCAGAGAGAGCACCTTTCACATGGGAGATGTATTTCCTGCTTTCAGGGGGAACTGAGAGAGGAGAGTCAGAAAGCCCTTTCTGCTTTTTAAGTAACTTTAACTCAAAATAATCAATATGCCACTGTGGAACATTTTGAGGTGGCCTGTCCTGGGCCCCACCACACCCAAGGGGAGATGTCAAGTAGGCAATCGAAGATTCAGGGATGAAGCTTGGCAAAGAGGACAGAACTAGAGATATTAACCTGAGAAAGCCAGCAGATAGAGGGTACTTCATTTATGGGAATGATGCGCTCACCCAGGAAGAGATGAGTTCATACTGAATGGGGAAAAGGGCCCGGGGCCTAGCAGGAGGAATCTTAAGGAGTAGGGACCAGAAAGGAGGCTGAAAATGAACGGTAGGTATAATGAGGTCCTAATAATGTGCGTTGGATTGGACTAAACAGCTGTTTTAAATCCGAGTTTTCGATCCCTGTGCCGCGCTATCAGCCGGCGGCCACCCACCGCCGCCTTGCACAATCCTGCCCACCCGGGCAGAGGAGCCACCGCGAGCCCGCGCCGGCCCCGCCCTCCGGCCCCGCCCCCGCGGGCAGGCCCCGCCTCCTCCCAATCCGGCCAGGCTCTCCAATCGCTTGTAGAGATCATCGCTTTACCCAGGCGGTTGTGTCGATCTCGGCTCCAATTGCAGACGGAGCCAAACCATGGCGGAGAAGACTCAAAAGAGGTGCGTCTGCTGTTTGAGAAAACCCTATTCTCCACTCTCCGCTGGGGTGGAGCCTGTTCCTGGTCGCCAGTGGTGGGGACTTAGATGGTATCTTATCCCGGGCGCTCGGCCTAGATGGTTCCTAAGGCCCAGACCTGGCGTCCGCTGAGGGAGGAGGCGATGGAGTGGGGTTAGGAAGGCCTGGGAAGGGTTGCGGAATCGGTGCCTGGATGGCTTTTGTTCTTCGTCCCAACGTCACCTCGCCAGCCCTCCTCCCCAAGGCGCCTGCGCGGAAGGGGTCTCCGGGCGGAGCTCCGAGGAGAGAATGGCCTCGCCCCCTTCTCGGTACCCAGAGGGTCCCCCGCATCCTTCCATTCTGCTGCGCTTGCTTCCACCGACGGCTGGGAGCTGCATTCTCTGCCCTGTGCGCCGGGACCCCCACGTTAGTGCTGGCCACACCCCAGTCCCTTCCTGCCTGTCATGGGCGCTGTGTGTTTGTATAAACTGATGCACCGTCGCTTGTCAAAAACGGGGCCGCGCCGGGACTAGAACTGTTGGAGCCGTTCTGCCCGGCTTGGACAGGCTCCTTTGCAAACGTGTGAGAACAGGGACTCTGGCTTCTCCAGCAGTCTCATTGCTAGGCACTGTTGGCGGAGAGGAAGGGCTTGGATGAGAAAAAAGCTAGTTACACTGTTTCCAGAAGCAGCGGTGTTGAGCACCCTCTGCTGACTCTTTTTGAAAAAACCGACAATCATTGTTTCTGGTGCCATAAATTAAAGTTTAGGCTTTTCTTCATTTAGGCAGGTAACTGCGATCTTTTTTCATAAGCTAAAGAGGAATAGATCTCCTATGAATATTATGTACAGTATATAGTAGTGTACAGTGGAGATGAAGGTATTGTTGACTTGTTATTTTAATAGTTAGCTCTTTGGCTTAGCTTTCTCCTCCCGGCTGCCTGCTCCCCCTCCGCCCCAGCACTCCGAGGTGCAGTGGAGTCCACACGGAGATGTTTGGACCACATTTTAGTTGGTCTAGTGGTGAATTTAATTATTTCCTGCTTCACGGAGAAGTATGCTGATTGTGACACGGACTGCGTGGGGCCTCTCCCTTAGGCGTAAAACTGAAGACAGGGGCGCTTGTGAATCGCTCCTATCCTCACTTGTCCTTGACAAATTAAATGTTAGATAATACTCTTTTCATTAAGAAAATCATAGAGGGAGGCTGAGGGAATGGAAAATTGGAGTGGGAAATAGGGTCTAAAACAAAAGGCATTTTATAAAGCCTAATTTATTTGACTAGGGCTTAATAAAATTGCATATTTTAACACCGTGATAATACCATTACTACTACGAAAAATTTTTTACTTAATGAGAACAAGTTATCTAGTGATTATCAACTTAATGGGGAAGTCATTTGGTGCAGTTGTTCACGTCAGCTCATGGCTAAGGCAGCATTTAGCTAGATTCAGCTATGTCAAAAGATCACAGCAGAATATCAAAAAGCATCAATAATTTGGAAATTATTGATTTTGAACAATTTGCACTACAATTTATATCACTTGATAAGCAGTTTTCTATAGAGAGAATAAATAGAAATATTTATGAATTTTAAATTTCTACATTGATTTCTATACTACTATTACCTTGCTGTTTATTTTGAGTATACATTTTTTTTCCTCCTTTTTAGAAAAATAGTGGCATATTATATACGTCCATCTTCTGGCTTTGCTTTTTTGACTTAACGGTATAGCTTGGAGACCATTCCCAAGCTTTTACATAAAGGATTATTCATTCTTTTTTATGACTATATATTAGTCCATAGTGTACCACAGTTTATTAACCAGCCCCCTACTAATGGATATCTAAGTTGTTTTCTATTTGCTATTTAAAAACAATGCTGGTGGGGCGGGCCCAGTGGCACAAGCGGTTAAGTGCGCACTCTCCTCTGCGATGGCCCTGGGGTTCACCAGTTTGGATCCCGGGTGTGCACCGACGCACTGCTTCTCGAGCCATGCTGTGGCGGCGTCCCATATAAAGTAGAGGAAGATGGGCACGGATATTAGCTTAGGGCCAGTCTTGCTCAGAAAAAAGAGGAGGATTGGCATCAGATGTTAGCTCAGGGCTGATCTTCCTCACCAAAAAAAAAAAAAAAAATGCTGGTGTTAAAAGAATCCAACGCCTCTTTTCTTCTCAAGCATTTTAATAAAGCATCGTATAAGATTTTTGCAGTGGATAGTATGCCACCTGAGAAGTTTATAATATATTAAACCTTGCCCTCTTACAATTTACTTTTCATTTTTCATCAATTTTTTTTAACCTTTTACTCACTGCAGTGGCAGGATAGCTTCTATAGCAATATTTTTAAACCTTACCCATGATGAGTGTTACCTTTTTCTTCCTATACAGTGTGAAGATTGCTCCTGGAGCAGTTGTCTGTGTCGAAAGTGAAATCAGGGGTGATGTAACTATAGGTAAGAACATTGTTTATTAGTGTTGTTTCTCAAGAAGTGATGTGATTTAATTTGTTTCAGTGCTTTACAATTAATTATTATCTTCTATGTTTGTTTCACTGATGTCTTAATGTTATTGACAAAACAATGTATTTCTTCCATAAGTGTTTAATATTTCTAAGAGAATTTAGTATAGTGAAGTCTATTTTTAAACTCCTATCTGATAAACTAATGAGGCAGTATAATGAAGTCATTCATTTATTGCATACCTACTATGTGTCAGGCACTGTGCATAGCACACACCAGTGAACACAGCAGATGAAGGTACTGCCTTTGTGGAGCTTGCATTCTACTGGATAGTTATTAAGAGTATGGACCATGGAGTCTGACAGACCTGGGTTAGCATCCTTGCTTTTTACCTGCTGGGTTACCTTGGACATAATATTTAACCTCACTAACCTCCATTTTCCCCATCTGTATAATTGGGTGTATCAGGATTAGGTTCACTTGCATGTAGGGGTGGCTTAAACATACCACCTTTTTATTTTTATTCTCTTACATAAAAAGTCTAGAGGTAGGCAGTTCAGGGCTGGTCAGTTGAGTGTCCAGGAGCTCCAGCCTTGCAGGCCTGGATGGGATGGTTAGAGCACCAAGAGTGGTCTTGGATAAGAAAGGGGAGGAGTGGAGACAAAAGGGTGCACCTCCCAGTTGAGTAGCTCCCTTTAAATAGTTTTCCTGAAAGTTCCGCACAATCCTTTGTGTGTCTGATGCCTTGGACTTAGTCTCATGGACCCATCTAGCTGCCAGGGAAGGCTAGGAGACGTAGTCTGAACTGGGTGCATTGGTGCCCCCAGTAAGACAGGGTTCTGTGACAAGGAAAAGGGAAGAATGGATATCTGGTGGCAATTAGCAGTTTCTGTCACATGCAAAATGGGAGTGCCTACCTCATAGGTTTTTGAAGGATTAAATAAGAATATTTGTGAAAGTCATTGCCCAATACCTAAGACGTAATAAGCACTCAATAAATGTTGGCTAATTGCACTGTTAAATCTTATCGGTGTAGTCTTGCTAGCAGTGAGGTCCAACATTTAAATCAAATGAACAGTTTAACATATGGCAACTTGCTTATATGAATATGATTAAGTTCCCCCCAACTCACATTTTAGTCACTCGTTCCTTTACATATGTTTTCCCTGGATATGGTGCCCTTGTGCTTTATTAACATGAGCCCGTCCTTACTAGCAGCTGCATGTTACCAGAGTAGAGCTCTCAGTGAATAAAGTACATTTTCAGAGAGAAAATATGCCTTGTTCCTTTATACTAACAGAATTGCTAATAGAAAAAAAAATTATAAATTTTAGGAAGTCTAAGCCCCCCACCAATTTAGGCATCATGTCTTATAAAACTGATGAAGATTGTGCCAGTATTATGGAACATCATTAGGAATTGGCCAGGTTGGATTTATTTAATTTTTTTAAATTGACTGTTTCAAAGTTTAGAAGGTGACTGTGTTTCTTTTCAGTGGTATGTTAACTCTTCCTTAACTCTTAAACCGCTTGCAAACTTTTTCTGAGGAGAAATTATGACAGCCACATGTTTATCAAAATGCTCTTCTGCATTATTTTTATTCTGGTGTTTTTATGGTTTCATCGTGATTTAAGGAATAACATCTAATATTAGCTCACAAGTTATTCTATAATTAGAAGAAAAGTTAGACTAACATAATGTAGCTAATTATATAAACTTTCCCTTTTCATTTCTACTTTCTCCCCATTTTATTTATTTATTTTTTTAACTTTTTTAAAAAAATTTTTTGTTTATTGCAGTAACATTGGTTTATAACATTGTATAAATTTCAGGTGTACATCATTATACTTCTATTTCTGCATAGATTACATCAGGTTC